GCCGATTTCGCTGTTTGTTCCCGGCTGATGTGAAATTAATGCTGATGAAATGCCCCAGCCACAAACGGTGTGACCGACGGAGAAAGCGGCCCACCTTCGGGGGGGGGGGGGGAGAGCTGGCGATGACGGCACAAGCGTGCACGGCTCCGACAAAGGTTTAGCATGAGAAAGACAAAAATGTGATCGATTTGGGGAAAAGTGAATGAATCAGTGTCTGGAGGTGCAAAAATGAGGGCTGGATTAGCTAGAAAGAAGAAAAAAATCCTCTCTGAGCTCCCATTTACCTAAAGCGGTTTTCCCATGCTTCCCATTCCCATCCAAGATTTCTTTTTCGGATTTAGTTAGGCACCTTCAAAATCGGCATCACCACTGAACTAACCCGCGACCGCCTGGGAGGGGTCGGATCCGACCCCCCCTCCGTTTTTCATGAATAACTCATGAACCACTTTCGCTATCTACTTGAAACTTGGCATACCTTCTCCCCCATCAATTTGACGTCTCCTGTGCAATTTTTAAGAAAAAAATTCCAAAAATTTTTGAGATATATCCAGGGGCGTCGCCACGGATTTTTGAGTGGGGGGGGGTCGGGTTTCTAGTCTTCACCCGATGGGTAGGGGTGTTTTTTTTTTGCCACACTTCCCAGTTTTGTGCGTGCGTATGTGCATGTGTGCGCGTGTAACAAAGCGGCGCGCAGCGCCGCGAAATTTGGTATAACCTATTAGGTAGGTATACCTACCTACATCACTTGCGTAAAAATTATCACTGGTCACTTAAGGTCAGGTCGCCATGTCAAGTTCAGTTATACGGTATACCTCTATCAAACTTTCCCCTCTCGCCATTCTTGTAGCTTTTCTCCCATAACTTCGAAATTTGGTACACTGTATACCTAATGTATGGGGTTATACGTGTCAGCAATTCATGATTCTGAGGATTTACATCTATGATCTGCAATGGAGGCAGGTCAAATACGTGACCTCATCATTAGAAAATAATGAGAAATTATAAAAAGCACGAATGCCTCCTGCTTTGAAAAAGTTCGTCAGAAACGCAAAATATCTTTGGAGCCGTGACAAATCAGCTCATCATTGCCAGGGACAGGGTGCAACTTATGGCGAGTGATGACTCGAAAGGTCATTAGTGGAAATGTCCATCGATGGCCACCAGCATTTTTTTTTCTACAACTTTTGACGAAGACGCGGTAGAGCGATGACAGCACCTGGAAGGTGTTCGTAGTTCAGCTCAACAACACGGATCCATTCATATGCAGCAGGAGGTCCTTTTTCGATCAGGACATAACGTTGACCTGAGGTCGTTTTAACGTTAATTCTGAATGGTCAAATTTTAACTCATGTGACGTGTCTCAAAGAGATAAACACAGTGGTGACAAGACAACATATGTAAGTACCATACAAACTCACGGAATCTAAAGTTATTGCAAAGCAAATGTTTCGGCAGAATCTGTCCAGTTAGCTGTTTGCCTTCTATGGGCAAAACATAGACCTGAGATGAAATCTGACCCGAAGCTAGCGAAAGAGCGTTGAAAGAGCTATCAAATATGTTTTCTGCTTCACTGTAGCCCTTCTATTGGTGGGCTCCCAGTCGCTAACTTATAACGTATACTAAAGTAACGCTGATGTATGCTTTCGACCCCTGATCGATCTAGAGGTTTGCGGAAAAAAGAGCATGCTGCCCGTGACGAGAGAAAGCCGATGATACCCATTTACAAGGTTTCGGGTCATCTCAGGACTCAGGTCATCGCCAATACGTAGGGAAACTCGGGACCTGCTAGAACTTTGCGAATGTAAGTTGTGATGGTTTTTCGAGGTTCTGATTACGAATGTTATCTTAGTTTTGAACGAAGATGATGACTCCATGCATTTGGGGTAGATCAGGTCAGGTCAGGTCAGATCGACCAGTACCTAATAGTGGATGACCACCACCCATTGCTTCCTAACATGTTATACATATGTATAAGCAACACAACTACTTCTTAAATGTTCAGATGGGCGCTAAGTTCAAAATCAGCTCCAAAAACTATCCTTTACCTAAATTAAAAGCATGTTATGAAAAAGTGAACCAAGGTCATCTTTATTCGAATCAGGGATATCGATTTATTTTTAAGTAGGTGATTAACACGAGCGCACCGGAAGTTTCGTTGCAATTGGCTCCTTTTGCGCGACTTTTTTGCGAAAGCCCGAGACGGTTTCATCTGACTCCCTTTCCCCTACATGTGCACTGTACAGCTAGTTGTGCCGATAGCCATGGGGCTGAGGCTAGTTTGTAGTTTTGTAGTTAGGTACTGATCCGACGAATCGACTGCGACCATTTTTTTAAACGATCAGACGAACGCTCGGGGCAGTTTTGGCGCGTCCAATCCTTTGAGGGATAAAAAGGTACTAGAATGGTGGCCACTGGCCACTTAAAAATATTGTTGTGCTGGTGTTCCCCGCCCACAGCTAATTGAACTTTAGGTAATTGGCTAATTGGCTTTAGGGAGCTCTTGAAGCGATTCTGAATCTGATGTACTTGGTGGTGTTGCTGACGCCTGCTTCACTGACATAAAAGCTAAAAAAGCATACTCAGCATCGCAAAAAGTGGGGGGGTCGACACCCCCAGTTTTCAAGAGTGGGGGGTCACGACCCCCCCCGACCCCCCCGTCGGCGACGCCCCTGGATATATCGATTTTAGTGATGTAACTACATGGCGTTAAAAAGTGGTAAATGTTTAAAAAATCGCCAAAAATCAGGCTTTAAAGCAAATTGCAAATTAAGGACATGAAAAGACGCAGCTTAACGAGTTCTTTAAAATGGCTATCTCGAATTTTCCATAAAATGCGTTTTTTACCCCTAAAAATTCAAAAAACTATATTTTTTGGAAAACAGCTAATAAAACCCAAAATTTTGGGAATTTCCAAAAAACCGGAGTATATGTTGTAGAGCTCTATTAGAACATTAGATGTCCCAAATTTCAACTTTCTATCTTGATTTTTGACCCCCAAATTGTAAAAAAATAGCTCCAACATGCATAGGGCATGGTGACGTCATAAGCATTTTCGTGAATTAGAGGCACTTCTGAACATCGCATGTGAAAACAAATGGCACCACTAGATTCCTGGGACAAAGCCCGTCTAGGAAAGTGCATTTTTATGTCAAAAATAAAAAGTTGAAAAATTGACCTTTTTTCTCAGCCCTCGTATAGTATAAACGATTTTTTATGCTTTCAATGCACACTTATCACTAGTACAGTGACTTGGGGTCACATATAACCATTACCATCGGATTAGGCGTGAAAAATAAGCCATAAAACATGTGTCGCACGCCCATGTAGCAGAAAGTGAAAACCGTGACCTTTCGTGACCTGACCTGACCTTGACCCGTACTTAGTATGACCCCTATACACACATGGTACCTTCACTAGGCCTTTGAGGTCATTTTTGGTGAGTTTCGGGCAGCAGCTATCGATTTCGCTGTCCGTAAGCCTAATCGTGCAAAACCCCTGAATTTGACCTTTGACCTGACCTTGACCCGAAAGTTGACCTCAATCTTAAAATCTTAAGAGTGCTTTGGGAAGGTCTCGTAGAGACCTTTCGAACGCCGCCTCGCGGGGCTCGATACGACCATTGGTTCTCGAGATAACAGGGGGGGGGGGGTCGGATCCGACCCCCCAGGCTGTCGTGGGTACGGAAATAGCCCAGGCGGTGCCGGGCTAAGGCACCAGAAACCACTTCATAATGCTATTCCAAAAATATATATACTGCCACTCACCAGGTAGGTATAATTCTGAATTTCATAAAGAGGAATTATTTTTTATGTTGGGAGTTGTGATGAGAATTGGATACCTACAAACTTTTTCATATACCGATACCAACTTACAGACATCTATGAGAGATCTATGATCTCAGTGGATCTCGAAGCAAAGTGCAGGGTAGGATCTATGATCCCACTGGATCCAGTGAAAAATTATCCTGATCTATGATCTCATAGGATCTGACGATAGACCAAGAACATGGATCTTTGATCTGAGTGGATCCCACCATGCACAACGCTTGAAACCAGGTTTCCAAGCGTTTCTACGTCAACAAATGCCACAAAACTATGGGCTATGACGTGCAACCACATAAAATCACTATCATAGAACATTTATGAGTTTCAAAAAGTGATTTTTTTTTTCGGGATTTGTGTTTTCAAAAAACAAGTGAGGACCTATGATCTCACTGGATCTCGAACAAAAAATTAGGCTCGGATCCATGATCGCTACGGATCTCTCGATAAATTTAAGAGCTGGATCTATGATCCCGTCGGATCCGAGATCAGGATCCGTGGATCAAATCCAAAATACATTTTCTCGGATCCATGCACATGTCTGCCAACTTGGTCTACAATGATACCAACATAACTAGTTGGGAGGGTATGTAAAAATTTTGAGGAATGATCACATAATAAAATCCAGCAATTCGCCTGTTAGCTGTGGATGCTCATTGCACAAAATCACCAAAAAATGTGCATCTTTTTAACATGTGAAGAAAAAACCTTCAGCAATAATTTGGAGACCGTCAGTCAGTCAATTAGTTAACCATGTGTCGACCGTGATGTTACGTGATTTCCACCAATCAGTTGTGCTCGGAACACCCCGATAATAACGCTATCTACATATTCACTATCAGTAACTGGAGCCGATTTCGAACTAATAATCACCGGTCATTTATCAATCTCAATCAAATCTCTGGAAGCCGGTGTCATCTCGTGTATGACGGTCTGTTGGTTTCTACCTGGAATAATTAAAGTTTAATTTTCAGCTCACCAATCATGGCAAATAATGTGAAACCTCCATGTAATCACGTAAAATGCCCCAAGAGGCACCGGGCTAGTCTGTTTCCTATTGTCCGCACAATTATCATTACAAACTCGGCCCGCCGTTTGTAAGCGGTCTTCTGATTGGTCGGCGGCTGGAGGGCTCCTCCCACCGGCGCTGGCCCCGCCCCGTCGTCGGCCACGCCGGCGCGGGCCGGCCGGCTGAGCGGCACCAGTCGACTCGCTGTAGCCGAGAGTGGCGCCTGTGTTCCCCGCTGCTGCCGCCGCCGCCATGACCGTCGAAGACAAATCGGACAGCTGTTCGGAGGCCTCCGGGTCGGAGCTGGAGTCGCCGCCGCCGGCGCCGGCCCCCGCCCGGCCGACCCTCTCGTTCAGCGTCGAGTCGCTGCTGAGTCGCGAGCCGCGCCCGACTCGAGTCAGCGTCAGCAGCCCGGCGTCGAGCCCGGCCGGCTCTCCGGAGCCGGGCCGTCAGTTCGGCAGCGGCGCCGTCAGCCCTGCCGTGTCAGCCGCAGCCGCCGCCGCCGCTACGGCAGCAGCCGTGTCCGCCGCCTCTGCGCCGCTGCGGCCCGAGCTGCTGTCCCCGTACAGGATCCACCCGTCGATCGCACAGCAGCGCTTCTGGCCCACCGGCCTGCCGCTCAGCCTGCACTCGCCCAAACAGAAGTCAGGTGAGTTCGACCGCCGGGAGAACCGGCACCGGTGCCAGATGTGTTCCGAGTCAGCGTGTGCTTACAAACGATGTTCAGGGTTATTTTTGCGACTGTTTTTAGTGTTCACAATGATTTTGATAACAGCTCATCGACCTTGATCAGTGGCCTGGAATGTCGCATGCTAAGCTGATAAAACTGCATTGCATTGATCAGTCGTGCAGAAAAGAAACGACAATAGCAGGAACAAAACAAGCTTTACCGTGTTTACCTCATGGAAATGTGTTTAAATTATATTCAGCTATGTCTTGTTTCCAAATATCTTATTTGATTTTCAGTCTTAACAAAGTGGCAACAGGCCAAGAAAAAATTCGACTTTTGGGGCTTCAATATAAATCAACCGAGTTCCGATGAACTAAATGAAAACAGGAAACGAATAACTTTTGAAAAATACAACAGCAATAAGCTGTAAATTTTTGTTCCTCATAGATTGTTTCAAATTTATGAAGAACGCCCACGATCACAAATATCAATAAGTGACCTGTATGGTGCTGCAAATATAAATGCATGCGCCATCACAAGGTGTAGCATATTAGGTACACATATTTGGAATATTGCGTGTCATAATTCATTGATTGCCCACCGTCCACCGATGACAATGCCGATACATTCAATAGTTATCCGATGTCGGTTCGCTAGTATCAATCAAAAAGATATAGGCGTTGACAAAATGACTGAACTGACTTGTCATATGCTGCCTTAGATTCAAAAAGCAGTTGTTGTGAGCCGTTCCATCAACTACAACGAATATTTGTTATTGTTTGAAACAAAAACGTAGCAAGCCTCAACTCCACATCTAGCAAAAATATAATTATTTTTTTTTTTTTTGTAGCATCTGTTTGCACAACAGGGAAATAAATGTCAATAAGAAATGCTGCTTCAAATTACGTTTTTTTCAAATGTGTAATTTTATTTTCTGCCATATGGAATTGCCTTGGAATGTCGTTGAACTATTCAAAAAAGTTCAATGATTCAATGAAACCAATGAAATTCAATGAATTGCGTGTGACCACCTCTCGCTCTCGCTAAAACATGATGATCATGAACACTTTTTTATATTTCTGTCACCGCTCTTGGATTGTCCCAGATCAAAACAATGTTCGTCACTCAAAGGTCACCCATTGTACTCTCTTGTAAGCCCGTTGAGCTCCACCCACCATTATCACACCGTCGTGCACAAAACTTTCAGCAGCTGCTGACCATCGCCCTCCTTCTCTCCTCAGATAACGACGACAGTCCCAAGCTGCTGCTGCCGCTGTCGGTGCACCTGCGGAAGCACAAGCCGAACCGCAAGCCGCGCACGCCCTTCACCAACCAGCAGCTGCTCTCGCTGGAGAACAAGTTCAAGCAGAAGCAGTACCTCTCCATCGCCGAGCGGGCCGAGTTCTCCAACGAGCTCAGTCTCACCGAGACCCAGGTGAAAATCTGGTTCCAGAACCGGCGCGCCAAGTCGAAGCGTCTCCAAGAGGCCGAGGTGGAGAAGCTGCGGATGGCCGCCAACCCGATGCTGCCCGGCTTCCACATGTTCCCTGGGGCGGCCGTGCCTCTGGTGCCGTCCCTGGCCGGCCTGCCGCTGCCCGGCCAGGTGCCCCGCTCGCTGCACATGCCGCTGCCGACATCCCAGTCCCTGTTACTGGCCAGCCGGGCGCCCTGAGGGACCGGCCAGGGCGGCCAACGGGGACGGGCTGGGACAGGGTGGGTGCGTGTGAGTGAGATGGATGATTGTCCTGCCTGGTGCCACTGGGGATCAGACGCTGTGGCTCCTGCCATCAGGCGGTCTGAGATCCTCAGTGCCAGGCTCGTTTGAAGTAAAGCTTTATTTCGGGAGGGCTCGGCCGGGCGGCCGCACTAGTCTCCTCCTCCGCTCCTTTCTCGTTGCTTGCGGCCAGGGGCGACCGCGGCACCAGTTTCTATGACAAATGTGTCGTCGCCGCTGGCGATAGAAACGCAATGCTCTCGCGACTGTGGGCGTTCTCGTTCAGTCCGCGAGAAGCGGCGGGCTCTCCGATGAGAGGAGTTCTCTCTTCGATCAGGGGTTACCATGTGGACCCGATATCTGTGATACGTTAGTGTGTAGTCACCGCCGAGCGAATCGATCCTGTGTGCGAAGTGTCGCTTGCCTGTGTCTATCCAATGTTCCTCTGTAGGGGAGAGTGGGGCAAAGCGGCCACCCGGGGCAAAGCGGCCACCCATCGTTTTAGCCCTTTATAGCTGGCGTCAGTTCCAATTTATGGTTTCCAATTATACTTCTCTTCACGGTCGTTCGAATGAGCCAGACCGGGGTTTCAGGCCCATCACCATTGTTCTGTGAAACACGGAAAAGCATTTCTTGCCAGGTTACCAACTATGTTTACAATTTTTAAATGTTATGTTATTCCATGACCGTTTGGAATTTTTATAAGCGTTCTTGTCCATGCATTGCATGGCTATCGTACATGTATTCTACCAATTTTAATGTTGTTTACCCCACTAATAGCTAAGCTGGAATATTTTTGTCTCGGACGGTATGCGCGGGGCAAAGTGGCCGGGGCAAAGTGGCCACCCCCCAATTGGCCATAAGTTGGTTCCATCTGGATAAAAAACATTATTTATATTCAAATGTGTCGTCATACATTCATCTTGGCCACTTTTCAGTTGCATGAGTTACCAAATAATGCAGTTAAATGTTTATTTTCATGAAAATCCTTTCTTTGTTTACCTACAGGTGGAAGATGATAAAGTAAACATCCATCCTCGCTTAACCTTGTCACCATCAAATACCCTAGTCGTACACGAGGCAACTATTTTGTTTCTCATATCGGGACTTGAGAAGACGCCGGTGGCCGCTTTGCCCCAGGGTATGGGGCAAAGTGGCCAATATGCATAGGTTTAAAGTTTTGTCAATATCTTTCATATGTGAACGCCTTTGGAAATAAAACGCAGTTGAAATAAAAGGCAACTTACTAGGGATCACATTGGCATAGAAAGAATCTTTCCAAGTTTAAAAATCAAGCGTTGGCATCGTGAGAAGCGTTAGGGTGGCCGCTTTGCCCCACTCTCCCCTACTGACTTCACTGACCTGCGACGATGTCCACATTTCTTCGTAAGCGGCGAGGCATCCGGGCGTTGGTTGCCCTTCTGTTCACTGAAAAGCGCAGGTCTCACGCACTTCCGTGGATAGTGAACTGCTGTGCACTTTTGCACTTTGACTGTGCTCATTCCGGACCAAGTATCCATCTATATCTGTCTCTCGCTGCATTTTAGGCCGATAATTATCCGAGGTATTTCATATCGTTCCGCTTCGTCCCATACGTGCCGTATTATCTCCATATATATGATCCGTTCTTTCGAGCTAAAATTTGTATACAAGTGTCTTATGATTCGTCAGATGATATTATAATTTAATATAATTGTATTATTGTGGACGTGCCTGTTTTACTTATATAGAGCAATGAGAAACTATATAGTATATGTTTGTTGGTACAATACATGTGTTGATACCTACCTAGAACGCGTTTCGCCCGGTCTGTGTCGCTTGCGAGAGTCTCATGTCAACGCACCGACGCATTACACCTCTATAGACCACACCACAGCTGCATTGACGTAAAGCTCACATGATGACGGCAATCCATTTCATGAAATCATCACCATTAGTTCAGTCGGCTTCAAACGACAAGAGCCTAACTTATCAATTGCATTGTTAGAGCAACTGGCAGCGAGCATTCTTTATGACACCGTAAGCTCCCTCGTCCGAATAGCTGTGATCCACCAATTACCCACCTCACGGGGCTAACAGCACCTTTCCACGAACAGTTTCTTCCACTGATATAATGGCTATCCGTGCAAGACCAAAATTAATTGCGCCCCTACTAGATATAATCCGTTACGGCCGCGATCCGAACTGGCCTCCGCGTTGGAACGAGCCGTGTGACAATGCTAAGTGCGCTATAGATCATGTGGGAGAAAAGAGGGGCAAAGTGAGGAGCAGATCGGGGTGTTATGAGCCGGGGGATAAGCCGCCGCCGCCACACCTGTCACGTATAACACGACACGGCGCGGTTTGACGATATTGATTACGATGGCGACACCTCCTCCTGATGGGCGGTCGAGGCTCATAAGCCGACTGAGCGCTGCGTCACTTGGATTCCAGCGGTTTGCGGCGCACTGCGGCCAATGCGGCGCGATAGTCAAGTGGACATCGTGTTCGGCTGCAGACCGCACACACTCGGTCCTTACACAACAGATGATCAAACCGAATGACAGCGTGCGCCGCTGACAGTCATCCAAGTCAACAAAACACTCTAGCGAGTCTATATGTATTTCCAAGACCCGGGCAAACTGACGTGCAAAATGCTGTGCACCCTTCGATAGTTTTAGATTCATTATAGGTCTTTGACATGTGGATTGTGGATTGTGGATCTTTCATTGTTACAGCATTTCCATTTTCAACTTTGACGCTCGAAGTTGGTTTCCGATGTCTACAGAGTGGAATAATAAAGAGTGGAATAAGTGGAACAAAACGAGTGGTCAAAAATGTTATCTTACTGTTGATTCATTATGGAATGGAAACAAAAATACGCTATCGACAGTTTTGGACAAAGATTTTGTATCAAATAATCAGCCGACTTGTCTTAAAAAAGAATCGTTCGAACATCAAAAGCATTGTATTCTTGATTTTTTTTATTTGAAAAGCAGCATGCAGCACCACCTGCGACCGATACATATACACCATAATGGAAAAAGTAGCTAATCACAAGAAGATGAGAACTGGTCTATTATTAGATAAGCAATTGCTTGGTCTAAAAATGTATGCATAAATGATGGGCGGGACCGGAAAGGTGGCATCAGACCCCGCGGAAGTGGGCATACTCCCAAAAAAATCCCTCGTTGCCAAAAATTCGGATGTCGCCTCTTTATGTCTCGCTGAGTCGCTTCCTTATGCCATCCTAATGCCGCTTCCTTATACAAAAATGAGAATACCGAAAAAACTAGAGGCACCGTAAGACCACATAAATGCCCTTTGACGCACACAATGGTTATACCAAGATGCTTTCCAAGCCAATCACATTAATACATTTTTATTTAAATTGCATAGAAGGATGAACAATATCCCAACCCCCCTCCCCAAACACCATCTAGAACATACCATATACATACAATACATCCAACTTTACAGCTGCATCCCATCTTCCCGGCGTGGTGACCACATAGGTGATAGGGATTTATAGTTCGGCCACCTTTCTGAGCGGCATATACAGTTTTACTGCTCGCTCCAGCGACTGACAGGAAATCCTGCAACAAATGTGTGTCTTCACAAATGACTGATGACTTCGTTATTTCTCTAGCTGACTGGTTAGCGCTACTGGAAGCGGATTTTTCGGCGACAGAACGTGAGTCTGTCATGTCAGCGCCGCCGTGATCGGAACGATAGCACCAGGGGCAGGGTGAACGGTGCGGCGCTGATGGCTCGTTGTCAGGCCGCGAGCTTTGGGTTATAGGAAAGTGTCTGACGCATGAATCATCAATATTGACGGCGTCAGCGATCTTTTGTACAGCGTAATCGGTACTTGGACATAAATCACAGCCGCCGCGGACCGTCTTTCGTGGTTTAGCTTGGAGCGCCAGCTCAAGAATCGAATGGTCGCCAAGAATAGCTTGGATCGTTTTTACAATTTTCTGGGGAGCCACTTTGTCATACTGGCACATCAATGTGACGCTATGCTGTAAAACATCCAGAGAAGCTGATGACGGCAGAAACGTCCGGTAAAACTCTTGAAGCCTCTTTGCGCAATAATGTCCCTAAATCATGCACAGAAAGGCAGCACAAATATCAATTCAGGGCCTTACAGTTCGTCATACATCAGACAGACAACGACCCAGGACACACAGCTGACACAGCCCCATAAAAATTGAAAAAAAAAATCCTCGACAGATCTGTAAAGGCATTCGATAGGAATGTATCGTCGATGACTGGATGAATAACTTCGTCTCGATAAGCATTGAGATGCTCGGGCAGGGTGGTAGACACTGTCCATCTGCCACTGGCGTGAGGATACGGAGATCACTGTTGGGACCAAGTTTGTTTGTTTTCAAATCGTCAAACCCACTCCCGAGTCCCGACCTGGTAGAAAGTTATGCATATACACTGATGAAATCTGACATTTTCGCCCGAAGTATCGGGCTAATTCAAATGCAAACATGGATAGAGAACTTTGATGGGCCGCATGCCAGCGAACAGATTGATAGACTGCAATATATGTAGCATCCAAAGCACGTTATGTTCCACGCACAACTGCTGACAGAACATAACGTTCCGATTTGATTCGGTCTAATTTCAACGACACTTTCCAAGACAAAAACATCACATCAACGGAAAAAGCTTATCTCTTTACCAAGGGTTCCGCCATGGTTTCAAGATTTGGGGGTTCAGCCCCCAAAGTGGCTTTATCTTTATACATTAGACTGCATTAACCCGCGAGTTGCTGGGGGGGGGCGTTAAACGCCCCCACTTTTTTCACCGGGCCATAGCATAAAAACGGCGCGCCGCAGGCGCGCCAAATTTTTGGTACCTGTAGGGAATTGATAGAAGTGTATTGTGACAAAGTTTTAAAAAAATCCGTCGGAAATTTTTTGAGATATCGAGGTTTAAGTGACGTCATGATTTGAGTATTCCACCAAAAATGGCATATATTAAAAAAATCATATAAAATCACAGAATAGACATACAGACATGCGGTAAACGCCATTAGACTGCCAATACCATGAACAATCAAATGGCGATCTTAGATTATTGATTATCGTTCGGCATTTTCCAAAATCATGAACTGAATCTTGGCAATTTCTCGTGACTACTTCACGACCATGATACATGCATTTCTTAAATTGAACTTCTTGAGCCAAACACGTACACATATGATAAAATGAATGTCACCATCGTGTTCTACGCCCCAAATTACCTATAAAACATGTGTCACACGCTGCGAATATCAGTTTTGATTTTCGGGGAAATGTGCCTACCCGGTTGACCTGACCTTGACCCTGACCTATGCTTGACTGACCCCTACATGGAGCTGACACTCTTGTAGGCCTTATATGATGGATTGTGCACCGTTTTGACAGAGTTTATGACGAGAGGCGCCCATTGCGAAGTCCTGAAGTCCA